AAAAGTCAACATTGCTGCCAAAATTGACCGGTGTTTCTCGTTTTTACTTTTCTGGTGTTTATATTTTTACATTTGATTTGTAATTTGTTTTTTGGTTTGTATGTGGCAACTGTCGAAGGGCGTGTTTGTCACCATTATTTAGGTGCAGAGAATGTGTCGTTACAAAGTTATTTTGGTTTAATGCTCAACAACACTGATGGCGTCCATTTTTTCCGAGTTGTAAACTGGAACGCAAAACCGCCCCATTACGTCATTTCCTGCTTGGAAATTAAGAGTGCCGAGGACAACTAGCCTGAGCAGCCGGCCCCATGCTTCCTCAGCTCAATTACCTGAGGATTAGTCTTTTTAACGGATGGGTAACTATTATTTGATTGCACCAAAGCAGGAGAATAACGCCTATCGTTTTTCTCAATAATTAAATAGAGGTTTCTGCTACTCTTCACTTCATGATTTTATCTGCGCCTTGGTGTCACATAAACATAAAAGACATAGTTCAGCAGTTTTTACTCAGAGTGATCTGAGTTAAGCACAACCTGAGAACGTTTCTCATGAGGGGGTGAAACTAACGCGGAGCTAATGTGTCTGCAACAACTGCTGTTACTCACTGGTCATATCTTTACGATAAAATAACACAATCTCACGCAGTATTGCTATGCCTTTTGCAATCTTTAGTAAGTGTTATGAAAGAATTTCACCTACCAACACTTCACTTTTTATCCAAATATTTTCAAAAGGGGCTGAATTAAAGCCATTTAATGTGACCTTTTGTTTAGTTTGGGCAGCCATTTTAATTTGAATTGACTCCAAAAGTCCATCCACCAATTGTGCAAAAGTCCCCAGTAAAAGGATTGAGATATGTCTGTAATTTTTATCATAAGCCCTTTGTTTAAGACACACCATGCAGGCAATCCAGAGTAATATAACTGCAAGGGTGTGTCTTATAAGCACACCATGTCGGCAGGGCAATGCGCACATTTTGTGGTATTCATTCCGCCTCGCCTGTTAGTAATATATAATACATTTCCTCATATAGGAAACTTTTTACTGATAGGCTTAATGAACTGACCTGTGTTGGAATGTTTACTGTGTGAAGTACCTTGAGACGACTCTTGTCGTGATTTGGCGCTTTATAAATAAACTTGAATTGAATTAATGTTGCAGTAATTGTCTCGTAAGCACTGATTGCGCCTTGGCACAACAGAGGGAGGTGTCATGATGAGGTGGGGAGTTACTGACAAACTCCAACTGGCAACTACATTGACAATGAAAGTAAACATGGGCCGTAAGTTTTGCTTTTGTAAACAGAATCAGCTGAGACGACAAACTGGATGCAGCGCTCCAGGAGCTTCTCTCCGTTAGAGCTGGAGCTCCGATCTCCAGAGACTGCACCTTTAGGAGCGGCTTGTCAAAAAACCTGATGAGCGTGGCTTTGGTCACAATAAGCAGCAAGTTATGGTCAAGATAAAGAGAAAAACTTAGCCACGCAGAGACCGCCCCATACTACTTTATGCCACCGTCGTGTAATCTTTTGTAAAAATGACACGATTGCGCCACTTGACCGCCACGGTCTGGCCACTTATAAACAACTTGAGGCTCCCTGGTGCCACCACGGCATTGTGGCAAATTAACGGCATTGTTTTGTAAAACCACTTCAACTGTGAGACAAGAATAAAAAATAAAAAATCCAGGAAACCACAGTGTATGACTTATTAAAGAATTCGTTTAATGGTGCAGAACTAAAATTGGCCAATAGCAATTCATTTGCTATCTGACTTCTATCTGACCAAATGACATTCTCCCAATCCTCCTCTGGATCATTCAGATGGACTCTGGCAAATTTCCAACGGCCCTGGACATGTGCTTAAGCGAGGGGACGTTGGAGCACTGCAGGATTTTAATCCATGACAACATAATGTGTTACTAATGGTAAAACTTTGTTATTGACACCCCCCCCCCCCCCCCCCATGTAGTTCAGTTTTTTTTTTCTCACTGTTCTCAAGCTGCAAGGTGAGATTGTGCATGGAGCAGGACTAAAAATTCACTCTAACAGGTCTTACCCGTAACGGAGTTCGGAGTCTTGGCCGTTTGAAGGTATGAACAGGTGTCTTTGATAGAGATAACTAGTTAAAACAGGTCCCAGGTGCCCCACATACCCTACACATTTTTGTAAACGTGCATCTACTGACCACTCCATTGTTTTCATACAAACATGAGCACACAACCATTTTGCCTTTCGACGATGAAACAGATCTGAATACAGCCACGATTGAACATCAACAGTCAGCTCAAATCTTGTATGTTATTTAAAGGTAATAGAACATTTTCAAGGTAGTTTATAAGCCACGTGTGCTGCCCTTCCACGGCTGGATTTTCAGTTTGTTTCCTTTTCATTAGGAGTCTTGTGTGAATGCACAACTACTGACTTTTCACCTCAGGGCAGAATCCAAGCAGTCCAACAGATGTGACAAAAGTTAACCAAAAGGAAGAAAATGTGTGTTTTGGAGCAAAATACTGTGTTGTTAGTGGTTTTGTTCATGCAACACTGTTTGTGTCTGTTTCCATCACAGCCACTGACTATCCCAAAGTAACAGTGCACCACCACAGCACAGCAGTGGCTGGGTGGAGGAGCTAAATCGGCTTCAAATCAGGTGCTGTGGTTGTACAAGCAGAACACTGTTGATTTACCAGACCAGTGAGCTACATAGAGTTCTTTTTCTTGGTTTGTCATCTTTGACTCAGGCCATTGCCTTTAGCTCCTGACCAGTAACGTACCGGCCACACTGACTGGAGTTCATTTGTTTGCACAAGCAATATTTTGTTCAGGTATTTATGAGATGAAACAAATTGTCTTAAAGGTGCTGAAAACTCATTTAATCAATACCTTTGCTGTGATCTCTAGTAGGAATGAATGCCTTGTAAGTCGTACGCTGGGGAAAAAAAGCTCTGGTGCACCGTTTTTCAGAGCTGAACTTCAGACGACAAGATCTGAAGTCTTATTTCCTGATATTTGGACATCTCGCCTCTGATTGGTTTTAGTAAATTCATATTTGATGATTATTTCACAGAGTAACTAAGAATAGCTGTCATTTGAAGGTCCTTTTGCAAATCAGATAAATTAGACACATGTGATGTGAAAACAGAGTGAACAAAAATCGACTACAAAGAGCAGTCCTGGTAGAGTTCAGTCCTCACTGACAACAGATCCAATTATACTGCAGCGTGCACAGTAACGCTGGGCGGACACTTAGCGACATTTTCGCTTTTTTGAGCCGATTTTCCCCTCATGCCATCTACGAGATCGGGGCGAGTTTTGCGCTGAGCGTTATGTAGTATACAGGGGGTTCCGAGGGGCGGTTAACACCACGTCACCAGTTCCTGATCAGCAGTCGTGAGCTCGTACGGATTTAAGTTAAAGTTAAAAGTTAAAGTCCCATTAGTTGTCACACACACTGATGTGTGTGCGAAATTTGTTCTCTGCATTTGACCCATCCCCTGGGGGAGCGGTGAGCTGCAGACACAGCCCCGCTCGGGAACCATTTGGTGGTTTAACCCCCCAATCCAACCCCTTAATGCTGAGTGTCAAGCAGGGAGGCATTGGGACCCATTTTTTCAAAGTCTTTGGTATGACCCGACCAGGAATCGAACCCTGATCTCCCAGTCTCAGGGTGGACACTCTACCACTAGGCCACTGAGCTGCTTTATCCTGGTTTGATGTTTGTGAATGGCCCCTGACATAGAGCCGTGCTCTCCATGCTCCCTGACTACTGCCTGGAGGCCTTCCTGGTGATTTGGGCCTGTCCAGCCAGAGGGAGGCCCTGAAGCTGGCCTAAGACAAGCTGGAAGGATTATAATTAGTGTTTATCATTCTCTGTTCATTATTTCTTTCTCAGTGGCCTAGTGGTAGAGTGTCCACCCTGAGACTGGGAGATCAGGGGTTCGATTCCTGGTCGGGTCATACCAAAGACTTTGAAAAAATGGGACCCAATGCTTCCCTGCTTGACACTCAGCATTAAGGGGTTGGATTGGGGGGTTAAACCACCAAATAGTTCCCGAGCGGGGCTGTGTCTGCAGCTCACCGCTCCCCCAGGGGATGGGTCAAATGCGGAGGATAAATTTCGCACACACACCTGTTTGTGTGACAACTAATGGGACTTTAACTTTAATCTTTTTAGCTTTGAAATTGTTAACTCATCAGAGGTTTAGAGAAATACTTGAAAACAATAACATTACATCCATATAAAATAACAGGAAATCTCATGAGATCAAACGTGACTTTGGAGGAAATCAAATCATTGTGAAAGGCGAGCACGCTTTTTGGTTCCATCACTTCGCTTTCTGATTGGCTAAACCTCTTATTCAACAAGAAACAATCTTATTTATCCTTAAAAAAATCTTGCCCAGACAATCCAGCACATTTGAAAGCTTGGATTTTTGATTGGAGAGTTCCTTCTGAGTGGACCAGAGCACTCCTAACACACCACACATGTTAGGATTATCTGTTAAGATTATCTTCAGAGGTACTACAGTATCCAGGGGTCTTAACAATCGTCGGAAGGGGAGGATCAAGTCAATACTTGGGAGCGTTATCGTGTTGTGAAGCTGAGACAAAATTCCCAGATGTAATGTAGAAAGGAAGGATAAACAATAATATCAGTGAAACACATGAAAGCACCATGTTGTTCTTGTAAAGGTAAACTTACCTATTTAACCAAAAGTCTGTCAGACCCTTAGAGGTGGTTGGTTTCCCTCATTTGTTTTACTCAAATCCCGTCGTCCATACGGGACAGTTTCTCAGTCATTAATTCCATATTTTGTTATTGTCCTACGACCCAGATTCATATCACACCATCCAAGATCAAACCATGTTTCAAGTTGCAGGACATGACAGTGATGAAAAGTTCTGACAGGATCTTTAATAGTCCAAAAGCATCTGATGCTTCCACAGTGAAGAACTCCTCTATCATTAACATATTTGCTCCATGTTGTTTGTTTTTTTCCAGGATGGAGTAAACGAGTGGACTATGAGCCAGGAACAGGCAGTAAGCAGCTGTTTCCCACGATGCAGCTGGAGACCTGTGGTGAGCCTCTGTCCTTAGTGAGGACCACTGTGGAGCTGCAGACCAGCCACATCGGGAAGGGCTGTGATCGAGAGACTTACTCAGAGAAATCTCTACAGAAACTTTGTGGTTAGTTTCAGTGTTTGTTGTTGTGGCGCTCCACAATCATCTCCACGGAGCAGCATCACAGCGCCATCAGAGGTTTGGCGTTCTGCCGTGTTTTGCTGCTCAGGTGGATTTGAAGAGCATTGCTGATCAAATACTTTTGACAGAGGAAGCATCCTAAAAGTTTAAGGATGAAATCAGAGCGGAGCTCCTGCCAAGACCATCGCTGGCGTCCGCGGGCCAGACTGGACCCAACATGCCTTTCTGTGCCTTTATGAATTTCACATCTAAAAGCTCCCAGTGTTACATTTTTATCTCCTCTTGTGTCTCTGGTAGACTCCAGTGGAAAATGTAGGCATGAGAAAGGCAGGTTAAAACCGTGTCATTAATGATGTGACGAGTGAGGGCATTAGCCGCCTGACTTTCAGGCACTCTCTCTCCTCAGTGACTGATGAACAGCCGAGACGCCGTGAGTCCCCTGAGCACCAAGAAAGCGAGCGGGTCCAGCCAGCCGTGGGGCGTTTCTGATTAGGCTACAGATGCACCTGTAGCTTTTCACTAACCAATCAGAATAGACCTCAACATACATCACTTTCCCTGCTATATTTGTCAAAATAAAAGTCTACACTAATTGATTGCGTTGCACCGCCAGGGCTAAATAAAAGCTGCCACACCTATAGAATACATTTTAGTTTATTTTTTAAAGATATAGTAATGACTCCAACTCGTTCTTTCCGTTTCGGATCTTTATTCCGGGTTACTGTTGGCCGCAAACCACGCTTTAACTCCAGGAAAAACAGCGTTAACGATTTCCATTCAAACTAGCGCGTATTCTCTTTCTAAACAACCGAACCGGGACTCAACCAGCCAAGAACACCCCTTCAACATAAAAGTTCGACCATACCAAATCGTAACCCGTTACACTATTGCAAAACAATGTAAAGCATGAAATGTATAGCCTTTATTTGTGCACTTATACTAACCATAATCGTAGTTTGAAATTAATTTAAACATCAAGAAACATTTAAATTTTACTTTATTTTGAAAAGTCATTGTGAGTCAGTCTGTCTAGCTGCAGTGCTTCGGGTGCACTTCTCCTGAAGTTCCCGTTTACAAACCAAAATGCCCCTTTTAGCAGCTGGCTGGATGATACTGAAGAAAGCAGCGACCCCCCAGTCCCGTCACTGCCAGCAGGGAGCTGGACTCATCGACTTTAACAGCTTTCACGATCCAGACTCCAGCTACTCCAGCACATCTGCATACACAACCCCTCCTCCCTGCCTCCCCTGGCTCCATGCATGGTTTACCACTAAAGAGACATTTTCTGGCACCTCATAATTGTTATCTAATAGCAAATATAATAAACTGTAATTGCTTTTTTAAAACACAATCAATTTGAGATGATATACAGAGACATTGAGCAAAGGCGGCTGCAGCTGGGTGCTGCAGGAGTTGATCCGTTTTTATTTACCAGGGGAATTTAATTACTTGATTCAGAGCGTTGGCGGTGCCGTGAGTGAGCGCTGGAGAGAAACATACCTCACGAATGCAAGAAGAACATCAGTTAATGTGTTAATGTTACGTTTTAGCAGAAATGAACAGATGTATGTTGTAATTGTTTGCAACAGACAAGAGGCAATCATGAGGAATTTTAATGGTGTCTTGTTTTTCTAGGCTTTTAGGTTTACATTTCATATATATATATATATATATATATATATATATATATATATATATATATATATATATATATATATATATATATATATATGGAGCTAGGATTGGGACAATATTCAGTGTAACTTGGTACATGTTTCATGACACGTAGCTTTGGATTCGTAACTTGTAACTTTAGTTTTCTAACTTGTAATTCTTAATTTGTACTTGTATTTCTTGTTTTGTTAAAGGAAATTTTCATTTTGTACATGTATTTTTTATTTTGTAAAATCAAATCTTCATTTTGTACATTTACTACTCATTTTGTAACATCAAACATTCATTCAGAAACATGTAGGACTTAAAGTTATTAAATATGCTTATGTTAGAGCAGTGTGTTGCATTACCACATCAAATTTATTGCTATAGTATTTTATAGTAATGTATGTGGTCTACATGTGTTCTACAGTGTTAGGACTGTCGTGTTCCTGTAATGTAGAGCAGTCACGGGTGTCTGTTTTCATACAAATGCTCGGAAAAATATAAATAGGCTACTTTGTGAAGGAGTTAGGACATAATATATAATATTATTCAATAATTACCACAAATCGCCAGGGGAAATGTGATTATATTAAATTTTTGTGATTTGTCCCACCATACGCCGTTCAAACTGGCGCTGGGATGTTTGGAACTGAGAGCTCCATGAACCACGTGACCGCGAGTCGGCGAGTTCTAAGAGTGTCGTAACTCTACAGCTCTGACAGAACCCTGCCCTCCTCTCACAATGATTGGACAGGAATTCGAGAAACGTGATTGGTAGCTAAGACTCGTGCTCTCATTGGTTCCACCCAAGTTCCTCCCACCGACGGTATAATTGAGACAAAAAGATCCGTAACACTGTAGATTTGAGGTTTGTACCTGTAGAATTAAATGTGTGTTTTGAGAGTTTTGATTTCAAACTTGTACCTTGATTTTTTTATTTTGGAAGTCTGCTAGTTACAAACCGAAAGTTTCGTGTTTCTGAATGAATGTTTGATGTTACAAAATGAGTAGTAAATGTACAAAATAAAAGTTTGATTTTACAAAATAAAAAATACATGTACAAAATGAAAATTTCCTGTTACAAAACAAGAAATACAAGTACAAATTGAGAATTACAAGTTAGAAAACTAAAGTTACAAGTTACGAATCCAAAGTTACGTGTCATGAAACATGTTCCAAGCTACAAAACTAGGTACAAGTTACACTGAATATTGTCCCAATCCTAGCTCCATAAGCTAGCGGACCTGTCAGCTGTACAGGTAAAATAAAACCAATTCTGCCGTAGAACTGGCTGGCGTGGATAATCGGGCGTTCGTGAGCGCCTGTTGTTATTATTCGGCCTAATTTAGCGTGGACAATATGTATCGTCCAAGCTATTCCGTGTAAGTTTTTCCATATATATTAGCATTGCGCTAACCACTCGCTGCCAAATTGCAGCCTTTGCGGTTAGAAAATCTCCTTTTGTCACATCGCAATTTAATTGCACATTCAGTTAATCGTTCAGCACTAATATACATGCAGCTCTGTGCTAAAAGTGTATTTTCAAAGAGGTAATGATGGATTTCTTTGTAAAAGTTGTCCATCTTTCCAACAGAAAGATTTGCCTGGACCAACGTAACGTGATAACAACGTAACGTGATAACAACGTAACGTGATAACAACGTAACGTGATAACGTAACGTGATAACAACGTAACGTGATAACAACGTAACGTGATAACAACGTAACGTGATAACAACGTAACGTGATAACAACATAACGTGATTACGTAAGGTTCATGTTCAGCCAATCAACTACTTTGACGTCATCTGCAGTCGACTGCCCCGAGCCGATCTTGTACCGACACCGGCTTAAAACAATTAGGATACAGCTTGTAGCTATGTGCCTCTGAAGAATCTCACTCTTTAAGAAAAGAAGAACAATTCCAGGTTTACGCATGAGGAGACCTGGAAAACATTAAAGGTGACAAGTTTTAAATATTTAACTAGAATAATTTCATTTAATCATTACTGACTTCAGTGCTCTTTTTTATGTATCACCAGACATGAGCAGCAGCAAATAGTTTCAATATGCTGCTTATTTAAATGAAATGTTTTCCACAGACAGATAAAAAGACACAGATAAATCAGTAAACACTGAAATGTCAAGGCACAAGATGAGCAGTGTGGCAAGAATATGGTTTGTCAAGGTGACAGGAGGGATACAAAGCCTGCTCATAACTCAGTGTTCTGAGATTATTGAGTAAAAGTGTTGATGGACGCGGCGGCAAAGACAAAATGAATGGAATGACTCAATGCAGAGCAGGAATGATTGGTGCACTTTAGGATTATTTAACTGCAACATTCTCACGTGGTCAGCTGGCATATCTCATATTTCTGTCTTCCTCAGACTTTCATGCCACTTTTTCTATGTTTGTGTAACCACAGACCTCTGTTAGCGTGTCATCTCTGCAGCTCTGCTGTGAGCAATTCATGGACAGCTACTCACATCTCTCTTCTTTTAGTTGGTTTTCGTTTGCATGAATCAATACTTGCATCTTCAGTCCATCTCGGGTCATTGATTACATATTAAGCCCTGGCTTCTCCCATACTCACAAGCAATCAGAGCCAAGGAGAGAGCAATATACACTACATATCTGCCGTGATTGTCATTGACACATCTTCTGTCACTCTTTTTGTTTGTTCCCACGGCGATAAACCCCAGGCGCCTCATCTGGCAGCACCGACCTTCTCCCCGCCCCCAGCACGGCCACCAATTGGACTGCTTCCCTGGTGACTGACAGTGGAAGGGACACTGACTTGATCTTCAGGTTTGATGGTCATCAGGCTGCTAAAATCCCAGACTGGGTGGTACCCCAGAACCTGACAGACCATTTCACCATAGCAACGTGGATGAAGCATGGGCCCAGCCCCGGGCTCAGAGCTGAGAAGGAGACACTGCTCTGTAACTCGGACAAAACTGGTGGGTCATTTCTCATTTCTAAACTTTCCAAACAAATCTCACAGGACCAGAATAAACAATGGATCGATTCCACCCATCGGGGTAACTTGTCTGTGACACACAGCAGCACCGCTCTCCAGAGCCAGCAGCATTTCTGAGTAAAATATGTATGAAGTTTGGTGGATTTAGTTTCCAATACAAGACACATTTGTTGTTTTTTAAGTCGGGTTTTGTGAAACATTTATTGTTACACACGTTGGAACCCAACACCGAGGTTGCTGTAAAAAATCGAATCAAATCGAATCTAATTCTTTTAAATAGAATAGAATAGAATAGAATAGAATAGATCATAACAGAACCAAACTGAATTGAATTGAATTTAATCAAATTTAATTGATTTAAATAGAATCGAACAGAACACAACTGAATAAAACAACATTTTACTTTCTATTATGGAATATTTAGATAATACAGTAATTATCGTTCTGTGTCCCAGGACACAAACACAATGCAATAACAAGTGAAATGACAGGTTTACTGAGAATGTCTCCTGTTTCTGGTTCTGGTGGTAATCTTCTGTAAAACTCCTGTCAGGGCCGACAGAGAAGAGCAGTGACACAACACTTGTTCGTTTATGCACATCATTGGTGGTTATCCAAGTGAAAGAAACAGGAAGGAAGGTGGAACCCAAGAAGTTGGAGAAACACCTGGGCCCTCATTTATCAAACGGTCCTATATTCCTTTCTACAAATGACATTTAGAATGTTTGCATGAACAGTCAAAAACCTATCAATGAAACGCGCGGTGGCCTCTCGTACGCGTGTTCCTCCGCAGTCGTCTGATGATAAATCCCACCTGAGTGTACCCAGGTGCTCGTGTCCATTCATTGTCATTTACACACAAAAACACCCTCAGTTGACCATATTTGGGCACGCTACGTCCTCAGCACATGAGGGAGTTCCCTGGGTTTTTCCCAAAAAATAAATCACTGGCTCCAGGAGCGCAAAAGAACCAAACAAGTAGCAAAAGTTATAAACACAGTCGGGATAGAGGAGAGGTTCCCGTCGGGAATAAATAAATCATTGAATGTGATAAAATTATACACTAATGGGTTGTCATTTATATTTTACATTTCAGGAGTCGTTCTGTTTGGAGTTAGTTTTACTTGGAAATGACTGAATGCAGCCTCTTCTGAGCTGTCATTCAGTCTGGTTACCTCGGCAACGTGGGGTGTATGATCGGGGAGCAGGAGGTTCTGGGGGTTCTCGTTGTTGTAAAATAAAATATGAACTGAAATCAGATTTGTGTGAAGTGCACTGCAGTAAGAGAGCTAGCTTTAGCATAAGGGTGTTAAAAACTTGCACAGAAGAAAACTCACACAATGAAGAGCGTAACAAAGCAAGAGCTGCAGTTATTGGCTACAGCCCACCTCGCAGGGCCGTGCAGAGGCCTTTGAAGGGGCGGGCGCTCAAAGTTAAAAAAAGGGGCACCTATAGAGCAAAGCTTTTAAACAGATTCACGATCCGACTAGTTTCAAATAATGAGACCCTTGGTTTCAAATAACAAAATAAAGTAGGAAAAATATATCATTTGTTGTCATTAATTGAAGTTTATGTCAGTTCATAAATAATTCTGTTTAAAGTTGACTTACACCTAGAGATGTTACAACCACATTTTTGCCCCTGATCTGAGTCCAAGTTGTTGGATTTTTGATTATCTTCCAATACTGAGTCCTGTTCTGATACCAGGTGGTGATGCAACGCATTATAAAAGAGGTTGTCCTTCTGTCTGTATTGGTCGTTTTGTTATTTTAGACTTAAAAGGGTTAGGGTTAGTACATTTAACAGTATTCAAGATCATTTATTATCATTGCACAGGTGTACAACCAAACTAATGTTGTGCTCACTAAACAAAGCTCTAGTAAGAGGCAGTAAAATAAATGTAACCAAAGAGACTTAACCAGTGTGATCTACAGCTATGTTAGCTGAGATCTTTTTCCTGTCAGTAGAAAATTCTTGATCCCATTCCATGATCTCACTGAACCTACCACTAAACATGAGAGCTCTGCTACCAACCTAACAACAACACCCTTTACACAAAGGCACCATCATCACATACGTGGCGGGAGTCTCAGAGAAACTTAGAAGAATCTTCTCCAAACACAACATCCCGGAAAACTTAAACCCAACAACACCCTCAGACAGAACCTGGTCCATCCAGAAGACAAAACACCCAAACAGAAGCTCAGTGGTGTCATTTATGCAGTCCAGTATAGTGAGGACTGTCCAGATCTTTACATTGGAGGAACTAAACAACAATTACACAAGAGCATGGCACAACACAGGAGAGCTACCTCTTCAGGTCAAGACTCTGCAGTCTGTCATGTTTGAAGGCAATTTCTTAACCCACGACATGAAGAATCACCACCAGGAGTTGGAAGGTAAGTAAAAAAATGGTTTATTTGTATGGTGAGGTAAGAAGCTGCTTCCGAGGGACAGGAAATGGATCCGTTGGGTTCTGAGAGAGGAAGAGAGGTCAGAGTCTGGGATAACGTGAGAGGATGACGAGGAAGGCAAAGGGCTTACGATTTCCTGGATGAGCTGGGTTCTTCGGGGAGGGTATGCCAGGCCTGGCTGAGCAGGGAGACCAAGGAGGTGCAGGTGGGCAGGTGAGTGGCATAGAGCAGGCGATCAGGGGCAAACGGTGGGATTGGAATGTTGATGATGGTTCCGCTGATATTGCAGAAAGCAAGTACTGAATAGAACCTGAAAGGATAGGGAGGACAGAACAAGTTAACTGCCAGAAGGGCAGGTATGGGCAGACAAACAAATTCTGATATCTTTCAGGAAAGATCAGGGGGATAGAAACTAACCAAGACTGGTATCATCTGGCACTGGTTGATTGCAGTAGAAACATGGGTGTTGTGAGCATACTCAATCCAGGGTAGTTGGGTACTCCAGCTAGTAGGGTTAGAGGAGCGCACACAACGGAGCATTGCCTCCAACTCTTGATTGAGCCGTTCGCACTGGCCATTAGTTTGGGGGAGGTAACCAGAACTCAGGGAAACACGGGCCCCCAATAAGGTGGCAAACTCATTCCAGACCCTGGAGAGGAATTGGGGACCGCGGTCTGACAGGATCTCCAACAGGATGCCATGCAGTATGAAGACATGTTGTATTAAGAGGTTAGCAGTCTCAGTGGAGGACGGAAGGGACTTCACAGGGATGAAATGGCAGGCCTTTGAAAATCTGTCGATGATGGTAAAGATGGCAGAAAAACCTTTGGAGAGGGGCAGGCCGGTGACAAAGTCTACCGCTATGTGAGGCCATAGACGAGAGGAAATGGGGAGAGGGTTTCAAAGTCCCACCGAGGGTTGGTTGGTGGTCTTACTCCGGGCACAGACCTGGTAGGTGTTGATGTCCTCCATTGTGTCCTTAAACATAGAGGGCCACCAGAATGACCTGCGGATCAGGGCGAGAGTGCCACCAATTCCAGGGTGAATTGAAAACTTGGCGGTGTGTACCCAGCGAATGACGGCTCCTCGTACTTGTTGAGGGACAAACAGTTTATGGGAAGGACCATTACCTGGGTCAGGATCTGTGCATTGGGCGTCCAGTACCTTGTTAGTAATGTCTCAGGAAACAGCTCCTACAACACAGGATGGGAAAGAATAGTGGCAGGTTTGAGATCTCTGTCTGAGGCGTACTGGCAGGATAGAGCATCTGGTTTGATGTTCTTGGTTCCAGGGGTGTAAGAGATGATAAAATTGAAGCGAGTAAAGAACAGGGACCACTGGGACTGTCTGGGATTGAACCTCTTGGCCTCCTTCAGGTAGGCGAGATTTTTATGATCCGTCCAGATTATGATGGGATGCTCTGAACCTTATAGCCAATGGCGCCACTCCTCCAGGGCCAATTTGATGGCTAGCAGCTCTCGATCTACCGTGTTGTACTTCTGCTCTGCCTGAGAGAGTTTCTTAGAGAAGAAAGCACAGGGGTGAAGTAGGTTATCCGAGGACAATGTTTGGGATAAGACAGCACCAACACCATAACCTGAAGCATCAACTTCCATGGTAAACTGAATGGACGGATCAGGACGAACCAAAACAGGGGCTTGAGTGAAACAAGTCTTTAACTCCTGAAAAGCCTTTTCAGCGTTAGCTGACCACACAAAAGCTCTTTTTACAGAAGTTAACTGTGTCAAAGGAGAAGCCGGTATTTATTCTTGACAGCGATTTGATTTAAACCTCAATAGTCGATGCAAGGACGCAGGGAACCATCCTTCTTTGAAACAAAGAAGAACCCTGCGCCCAAGGGAAAGGTGGAGGGACGAATCAGGCCTGATGCTAATGACTCAGAGATATAAGTAGTCATGCAATCGTGTTCAGCTTTGGTTAGACTGTACAACCTACTGGACGGGAGTGTGGCACCTGGGAGCAGATTGATGCAGCAGTCATACGGACGATGGGGAGGCAAGGATGCAGCTCGATCCTTGCTGAAGACTGTTTGTAGGTCGTGGTATTTGAGTGGCACCGAAGACAGGTCTGAAATGGGTAGAGGACTGGTGGCAGGAACCTGGACAGGAAGGTTAGCAGACAACAAGCAGTGGGACAAGCAGTACGGACTCCAAACAGCTACTTGACCCGTCCTCCAATCGATGTGGGGGTTGTGCGTGATAAGCCATTCGTGACCCAAGATGACTGGGAACTGAGGAGAGGGAAAAACAAAAAATGAAATGACCTCTTGGTGGTTACCGGACACAGGCACGGTTTGGTGGGTGATGGTGGTTAGTGCATTTCCATCCAATGACAAAACCTGAACTGGAGTGAGGAGAGGTGTAATGGGAATCCTCAGTCGAGTGACCACGGACTGATCTAGAAAGTTCTTCTCACAACCAGAGTCAAGCAGGGCCGTAGTAGAAAAAGGCAGCTGGTTAAAAAAAACAGAGCAAGTTAAAACACACCGGGAGGTCTCTGTCTGCGTTGCTACCCACCAGAACTTCCGGACTTACTGGTGGGCTCTTCCTTTTGGGCGTATTGGGCAGTTAGACAAAAAATGACCAGACTGACCACAGTACAAACACATTTGGGAGGAAATACGGCGTTGTCTCTCCTCTGGGGTCAGACTGGCCCAGCCTATCTGCATAGGAACCTCCGTAGGAACTGGAGCTGTAGCTAAAGCAGAAGGCAGAGCCGGAGGCGGAGTGGAAGGGACGGTTTGGTAGGACTGATAACAGAACGGTGTGGGCCTGGGATGGGTCTCGAGTTTCTTCTCTATGCGAATGGCTAGTGTTATAAGATCCTCCAGAGTCCCAGGTTCAGGACACAGAGCTAGTTGGTCCTGGATCTTATCATTGACAGCCTGAGAAAAAGCTCCCTTTAATGACTTCTCGTCCATACTAGATGTTATTGCCAATGTTTTGAAATCAACTGAAAAGTCTGAAACTGTTTGTTTCTCCTGCTTCAGGTTCCAAATGATCCTAGCTATTTCTGAGGGTGTTTCTGATCGTCCAAAAGTCCTATTAAATTCTACTAGGAAATCGTTTAGGGGACCTCTAAGGAAACCAGCTTCCCTACTCTTAGCCTCTGCCCATTGCAAGGCACGACCTCGGAGCAGACCAACAATGTAAGAGATCTTGGCAGGATCACCGATAAATGTTTCTGGGGTTCTTTCAAAAGTTAGCATGCATTGGAGAAAACATCAGATTTTACCGTACTCACCGGAGAAGGTATCAGGAGGAGGCGAGTCTGTGACCCGGAAGTGCCACTGTGTTGACGGACCAGGCTAAACCGGAAGTGGTTGAGATGGTGGTGGAGAAACTGGGGCAGCTGGAGCAGTTTATCATTCAGCTCCCTTAACATGGCGTCTAACTGTAAAAACCGTTGGTTAGTGCTGGCTTGATGTTCGAGGAGAGTATGTATGGAGTGTTCATGTTGGGTGAAAGCTGTGGATATGGCGGACGGAAGTGATTCGACAGTGGGGTCAGGAGTTTGGCCAGATGATTCTGTCATGTTTGAAGGCAATTTCTTAACCCACGACATGAAGAATCACCACCAGGAAGGTAAGTAAAAAAATGTTTATTTGTATGGTGAGGTAAGAAGCTGCTTCCGAGGGACAGGAAATGGATCCGTTGGGTTCTGAGAGAGGAAGAGAGGTCAGAGTCTGGGATAACGTGAGAGGATGATGAGGAAGGCAAAGGGCTTACAGTTTCCTGGATGAGCCGGGTTCTTCAGGGAGGGTATGCCAGGCCTGGCTGAGCAGGGAGACCGAGGAGCTGCAGGTGGGCAGGTGAGTGGCGGAGAGCAGGCGATCAGGGGACTGGAATGTTGACGATGGTTCCGGTGATATTGCAGAAAGCGAGTACTGAATAGATGAATGGAACCTGGAAGGATCAGGAGGACAGAGTAAGTTAACTGCCAGAAGGGCAGGAATGGGCAGACAAACACATTCTGATATCATTCAGGAAAGATCAGGGGGCTAGAAACTACCCAAGACTGAGTATCATCTGGCACTGGCGAGTTACTCTGCCACTCCTTAAATCCCCTGACCGCTGATGAGCTGAGCTCTCCAGACACACCCACCTGAAAACAAAGCTCAGACAAAGATGGTGAGTTCAGCACAGAGCATGACACAGTCCCACCTACACCTGAAGATGACAAAGTACACATTCTGGACAGAGAAGATAGATGGTTTGAGAGAGGAGAAGAAGCTTTCTATGTCACACATGAAAGGCCCACTTTAAATAGGGGAGGGGCTTAGATGTCACCTTTCCAGTACCTATAATGCAGCTTTAATCTCGATTCCTAAGCAGTTTCAGTGTTGGTCACACCTTCCTGCATCTAATCAACAGGACTCTCTCTCAATTGAAGCTAACGACTCATCAGGAGATGGAGAGGCGGGGTACTCAGAGTAGTTTCTGCTTGTTAAATAACAACAGACAGCTACAGCTTATAGACCCTTTTACTACCTACGTCATCAAAAGTTGCATGCGCAGCCTGGCAACGAGAGTGAAGGCTTCCGCATTCACACTCGATATTACAACAGCGTTTTAAACCCTTTGTTTTGAAGTTCTGAGGACATAAAAATGTCAGGTTGTTGCGTGTATGGATGCCAGAATCGCTTCTCTTCAAGCAGTGGACTGAAACTTTACAGAATTTCCTGCTCAGGTCTTTCCATGCACATGCCTGAGATGTAACTGCAGCCTTTTCTGTTTTTCCCATCCTAACACAAAGCTCAACTTTGAATAAAATTGCTGCTGCGTGGCTGCAGCATGACCCAAGTCTGGATCATCAAAATGACAGAATTAAACAAATTTATACGCTTTATTTCATGCTTCAAATTAACATTTCATTCTAATTCATCTGTATTTTCCCACTGCATATTAGTATAAACTGTATTTCTCTAAAATTAACACGATTGTACTCTGAGCACGCTAAAAAAAGAAACCTATGCTATACTCACCCTGCCATGCAGGTACAGTTGGCTGTGAAGACGTAGTTCTCTGGTTTGTTTACTACGACCCAAGCCTCGTACATAGCAGTCTTGTGTCCTTGTCTTTGGCTAGGAAGGACTTCTGCCTTCAAGACGCAAAACTCAGAGCCTATGTGGTGATATTTTACTTTCTGTACGTGGCCACTGACAACATAGTTGTATGCATCTAACCATTTGTATGCCCGTAGCTTCTCACCTGTGTACTTACTG